AGACGATTATTAAAAATACAGCAGTAAATTGAAACCACTGTAGTTGCGTATCGTGAGCAATAAGTGGCAACAATGTCGGGCGACAATGAATTCAGGCGATTGACACATTGCCATGAATACACTCGATAACTGCTTGCAGACTTCCAGTGGTCATTGTTTATGTTTGGACTCATAAAACAACAGCAAAATAAAGGGTTGGGCAACTACTCTTTTGTTTAGGCTTGTGAAGAACAATGCAAGCTATTTACAAATAATTTCAGCTGGATGTACGTTGGTGGGCGGGTGTTGAGATTTACTAGGCGGCCGTACAACTTGATGGGCGGGCCGCCCACCTAAAACCCCTTGTGGAGAACACTGAAGCAAGTAAGCATGACCCACAATCAGATTACACTACTATGATTATTAGTCCCCGTTCGGACGAAGTCCGAAAACGAGGACTTATAATTCACTCTCCGTCCGTCCGTCCGGAGTCATATCTCAGAATCGCTTGGGCCGATCTCGTTCATTCTTTGCATGTGCCTAGTACTTTATGTGGGACATATGCACATGCAGTGGTTTAGCGATTTTGATTCAAAATGGCCGACTGGCAGCCATCTTGTTTTTTGAAAATGTTGTATTTTGGACATGCTTTGTCAGTTTTCATTCAAACTTGATACATAGATTATACATATTAGGATACATGTCCATGACGATTTATTTCACAATTGGATCAAAGATGGCCGACTGGCAGCCCTCTTGATTTTTTTAAATGTCGTATTTTGGACATGCTTTGTCAGTTTTCATTCAAATTTAGTACATAGATCATACATGTTAGGATACATATCCCCCGACCATCCGTGAGTTCCTGAGTCTGTCCGTGCGTCAGTCTGTCCAGAGTCATATTTCAGAATCCTCTGGGCCGATTCCGTTCATTCTTTGCATGTGCCTAGTACCTTATGTGGGACATATGCACATGCAGTGGTTTAGCGATTCGATTCAAAATGGCCGACTGGCAGCCATCTTGTTTTTTGAAAATGTTGTATTTTGGACATGCTTTATCAGTTGTCATTCAAACTTGGTACATAGATTATACATGTTAGGATACATGTCCATGACGATTTATTTCGCAATTGCATCAAAGATGGTCGACTGGCAGGCATCTTGTTTTTTTGTTTTTTTATGCGGTATCTTGGACGTGCTCTGTCAGTTTTCATTCAAATTTGGAACATACATGTACTTTATACATGTTAGGATGCATGTCCATGACAATTTGTTTCAAAATCTGGTCAAGGATGGCCGATTGACAGCCATCTGACTTTTTGGCCTTACTACTATATTTCCACAATTTATGTACCATTTTCATTTGTATTTGGCACATACATCATACATATCAGTGTGTTTCATAATCAGATCAAAGATGGCTGAATAACGGCTGTTTTTATTTTGGCCATATTACTATGACACGAAACACGTGTTTTGATGTAAATAAACAATCTGTTGTATACGCCACTTGGAACTCAAGTTTCAAGGACACGCTCGCGACAACCCCTCCGCTTTAATATGACGAGCACAAAGAGAACTTTCAAAAATTTTACGAGGACTGTGTCATTTTCAATGACTTGTTTGCTACTAAGTTTGTTTGCTCTGCTGTTGACTTTGTCGAGCTGAGCTAATCATATTATTGATTGTATGTTGTCATCAGCGTCAACTTTTTACTTTTTAGAAATAACCACAAGTCTTGATTGCCTTGATACTTGGTGTACCTTGGATAGATCTCTATCAGATTTGTTCATTTTGTGATGATATCTTCAATTCCCTAATTCTGATGAAAATTGTTGTCATTTTTGGTAAAAAGGAATATTTTTTACTTCTTTTTGAAAATCGCAAGTCCGATTATTATATTATATATATAGGTACTACAGGTAGACCTCTCTCAGATTTGTTCATTTCGTGATGATATCTTCAATTCTTTAATTTAAAAATGGATTGCTAACAGCTGCTTGATTTTATATGAAACTTCTGTAAACTATATTTTTTGTTACCAACAAATCAAGACGAATGCATATTACATTACAATCACTGAGTATTTTTTTTTACCATGTGGAAGCATCAACATTTTTGTTGTTTTTCCTTGAACTATTTGACACCTAATTTAGAACCATAATTGAGGCCTTTCACTCTTCCATGATGACAAATTAGCCTAGGGAATTATGTTCCTGTAAACTGTGCCAAGATTTTGTGGAATTCATCAACATTTGTCTTATGCGAGATTAAAGTGGTTTTGATATATGACACAACTGTTCTGTTATGAAGAAATGCAATATTATAAAATACTTTATTTTCGCTGGGAATTAATTTTCGCTGAAGGAATGAATCAGTGAGAATAAATTCCATACAAAACACACCTAAAAAGCTTTTTCAGTGAAAATTAATTCCAGCGAAAATAAAGTATTTTACAGTAATTCATTTATACATGTACTTGAATTCTGTGGTAATTATATGCCATAATTCTCTGTTCTATGTCTGCAGGAAAGAAAGACAGACCTTCATTGGGATCAATCCAGCCAATATTATACAGATGGTGAGTTTGTTCGTTTACATATTTTGTAAGATAAATTAAGCTGAGTTATGAGATATAATCCTTGTATGTTTTTCAAACTTTGTTGCTTAGATACAGGCGGCCATGTTGAATTATCCCCAGAAGTTTCAGTTTCAATTACTGTGGGTTGCTTCATTTTAGGTGGAATTAATCTTTGCTGAACACAACAATTTGAGTTAGGGAAGAGTAGGAGATTAAACGGACGGTGCACCGCGGCCATTATC